ACCGACCGCCAACTCTTGTGCTACTCTTATACCAACGAATAATGGGATTGGCCGTCACATTATAACGCCCCACGGCTGAAAGAGCGAGCATGTTTAGTTGGACGAGGATTCGAACCTGCGACCCTTAGATTGCCAGTCGAGTGCCTTAACCACATTGGTATGCTAGAAGCATAATTTGTTCGCAGCTTGTTCAGTTCTAATATTCAATATGTAAACCTTTTTTGCCACCGTAAAGGTTTGATCAAACCAGAGGGTTATTATTTGTACACTGGAAGCTGCTTACTTTCACTTTGTAAATTATGTATGACAACTTTGTTTATATATTTTAATTTTAATAACAGATAAAGTATGTTAAACAATTTTGAAATAAAATTTCACAACAAGATGCATTGACCTAAGCACCTCTTAATGATTGAGTTATAAAATTAGTTCATTTTTTTAACTGAATGTTTTTTTAATGTGAATATTCAAATGGTATAAGACGAACAATAGCAGATAAAAGTGATATAACTCCTCGCTCTATCTACAGTTTTTCATTTTTTATCGTTTAGTTTAACGATCATTGCATTCAATACGCACGTCTTTTAGTAATCCTACGATTAATAATATCCTTGATTTTCACAGTCACAATATTGAATTTCAACTAAAATTACGTTAGATAAGATGACTACAAATAAACTATACATTAACGTTTTTCAAATAAATGACACAAAATGATTGGCGCTTCAAAAATGTTTGAAGCTTTAAAGATTATTATAATTTTTGAATCTATTTTTCGCAAGGAATAGCTAAGTTTCGAACTATTTATAATTTCCACATTATATGTCACAGTTATAAAGTTATATTTCTTTTTTTGAACTTCTGTAATATTTTCTATTAATTTATGAAATAAATCGTATAATCAATAAAATTAAATACAAAGCTGTGCTAAAACCCATAGTTATTAAAATAGTCTGATATTACTGGGCACGTATACATAAACTGTAAATAAGTCTTACTTACCCGGATGGATGGTAGTCGGATGGGTGATACCTTCATCTCTGATGCTAGTAGGATCAACGTGTAGGTACGAAATAAATGATCATTCATCTCTGCAATCACAGCTTGAGTTCTGTTCACTGTTTCAAAATAAACGTGCTAAATAACTCCATAAAAATTATTCAGAAATATTATGTAAAATCAGAAAAATAATTTAGTTGCTATGATCCTTTATCTGATTATCGTTACACACTGATCACTGTATAGAATATCCTATTATGGAGTCCTGTTACAGCTTTTTTTGTCAGTACGTAGTCCAGATAGCGTTGTGCCATCTCTGTTTTCTAATTACTAAACACAGGGAGGCAGCTGGTCGCCAGTAACGTCTTAACATTTAAAGACTAGGTCTACTTATTTATTATTTAAAGTATCTACTCGACAATATAGAATAGACCTACCGCTTATTATCTGTTCGGCGCTTTAGCAACAGTGCAAATAAACGTAAGCCCAATTTAGTTTTAATAATTTAGTACGAATCTGCACAATCTAAGAAAATCGATCCAAGTTTACCACCGTAACTCCAAAATATCTAAAAGATAATTAAAAACTCCACAATAAATTAGAAAGAATATGATTTGGGCCTTAATTAAAAAAAAACAAGATTCCAACAGCTTCGGCTCGGCATGGCCAGGTGGTTAGGGCGCTCGACTCGCAATCTGACGGTCGCGGATTCGAATCCCCGTCCCACCAAACATGCTCACCCTTTCAGCCGTGGGGCGTTATAATGTGACGGTCAATCCCAATATTCGTTGTTAAAAGAGTAGCCCAAGAGTTGGCGGTGGGTGGTGATGACTAGC